AAAAATATTAGGATAATTGTTTCTTTAAATAATATATGAATACATATTTGAATCCTTTTTTTATTGTTGGACCCTCCAAATTAAATGGTCGCGGCCCACAATAAGGAATCCGTTAGATTAGGAGAAGGTGTTATGCCTGTAAATAGAGTATTTAAGAATGAAATATTTTAATGGTGAGCGCTGGTGATAATGACTACGACAATATTAAATGGGCAGCTAACTGGAATATTGTGACTACGACTGCTGCAAAACGTTTGGATAAGTACCAAGTCAATGGTCTCATACTGGAAATCACTAATACTATGATAGAGGACACAGGACTAGGTCGAACGGACGCTTAAAGCTAAAAGAGACCGCGATCAAACAGAAGGCCACACCATCTTGGTCTTTATGTCTAAGATCTAGCTGGAATATTGTTTCTTGTAAACCACTTAACTGCTTTTTACTTGTTAAAGAATACTGATCAATTTTCTCCTATAGCCTCAATGAATTCAGTTTACTTTGTCAGAACTATCACGTGAGCGCTTTCCTCTCCAATATCTTAGGAGTTCAGTTAAATAACAGTGTAATTTTCTTACGTTGCACTTTTCATATAAACACTTATGTTTTCTTCATCAATACTGTATTAAATTTTATGGTGATATCGTTTTTATCATTTCTGCATATTTGACGATAATTCTATCTTTTGGCAGATAACTTTGCCCGGTTACCTCAGGATTATATTGCCTCCTTATAGATAGGATGGAAATTTGTAATTTTTAACATAGATTATGCAATCTCTTTTTACAGACTTTCTATCTTTTTTTCTCTAGTTGCATGAGGCAGCCAATCTCGAGGTCTCTCAGCTGCATTGTATGCTTCGCGACCTAGAGGAAAGGACAGCTAAAAATAAGTTGGATTTGCATTCACGTTTAGCTTCTAGTGAGGCGGAGGTTTCTCGCCTCCGCCGTCTCCTTAACATTCTAGCGAGTGGTGGTGCTCAGGGCTTGGGAGAACTCGACAGGACATCTTTGGAATTAGCCAAGGAAGCAGACTCGATTCCGACAGGCTCAACCTCCGGCGCGTCAGACCCTTCATCTAAGGTCCAACTCAGCATCAGACCTGATTCTATGGTACCTGAACGCATTTTGTCTTTGGAAGCCCAGATTCACCAACTGACACAATCCCTAATGTCAAAACAGCACGCATTTGAGACTGCATTCTCAGAGAATCAGACACTCAAGGTCAGTCCGCCAAATTAAAGTGTTTGTGAGAAAGCTATTACCGTATTTTCCGGCGTATAAGACGACTTTTCACACCATAAATTTCTGCTCCTAAGTGGGGAGTCGTCTTATACACCGAGTGTAGTTTAGGGATAGCTAATTATACTATGGCTCCGAGCTCCTGTATTGCCCCTTACCTCCTTAAAAAATCTATATTTTAACTAGAAAAGTCAGGGGGTCGTCTTATACGCCCAGTCGTCTTATACGTCGGAAAATACGGTACATTATTTAGAAGCCCTTAGTTTAGTAAGCTCGATTAATCACCTTTTGAATATGTTATTTTAAC